ACTCTTATCTGCCCACCTGTAGGCAAGCCAGTTTAATTTGGTTTTTCGCACGATCACAAATAAAATTCAAGACCCCTTTTTGCCGATCCCTTCTAATAGAACAACAACAGCAATAATAGTTGCAAAATAATTATAACAATAATAGCAACGATATCAACGTTTAGAATAATAATAAACAAATATAAAAATAAAATTTTCTGGCAAAATTTCTCGAATCCCGGTAGATGTAGCTGGACAAAAAATACTGTTTAATTAAAAACAGAGCCTCTACTCGAATATGAGTATCCATAAAAAAGTAACGTTTAAACAGAATAAATTGAAAATAACAAAACACATAATACTAACTACAATAACAAGAAAATGATTGTAATATTATCAAAGACAATAAGGTTTATAACAACAATAATGGTGGCAAGAGAAGAGTACAATTTAAGAAAAGATAAACAAAAGAAAAAACACAATGTTTGACAATATTAAACAATATTTCAACAGAAGGAAAAAAAAATGTATAAATCTACAAAAAATCTACATGAATTTAAATGTGCTACTATAAGCTAGCATCTCGGTCCCACCCTTTCACTGTCGAAACGGTTAAATGTAACCGTCTCTTCTACTCCAAGAGCTTCATGTCTTGCACTTCCCGTCTGTGGAACACCCTTCCTCTTATTTGCTTCCCTGACAGCTATAAAACTATTCAAATGTAATGTCAATCGACATCTCCAGACGCTTTGATCTATTCCCCGTCCTTCTCTTCATCCTTTCCGCTATCACACCTCTTTACTCTCGCTTCCGCTCTTTGTAACCCCTTGCGTGCTAGTGCCATCCCTCCTTGCGTGAAATGCTTAAAAGAAAAACGTCTTTGTACAAACGTTGCTTGTTTTGTGTATATTTATTGTATTATTACGTACAATTTTAACCCAAGGCCGAAGGGGACGTGGGGTGAGGCTGCTCGTCGTTGATTACCCTAAATTCAGCTAATCTGATTCGTGACCCATTCATTCGTTACAATTTACTCAACCACAAGAACACACCTCTCTTCACCAAATCCTACGTTTACCAAAATAACACATACTCACAGGGAAACCTACTAAAACCAATGGTGTAAAAATTTATGGCTATTTATCTTTCTTTCTATGTGCCGTGTCCATTCAGGACGTAGGCGATCATAGCTCTCCACCTCCTTCTATCCTTTTCAGCTCTCAACAAGTTCCTTCCCTTTGCCACCTCACCCAGACCACGTTCTGTCATCCACTTGCTAAAGACCGCCAGGTATATCATGCGTTGTTTTCCCTTGTCTCTCTTTCCCTCTATTCGACCGATGAGTATCAGATTCTCCAAGCCCTCCTTCCTCATTATGTGTCCCAGAAACTTTAGCTGCCTCTTCCAGATGTTAAGTATGTCTCCTCCTTGTTTGTGTGGAGGTATATATATTGTAGAGAATGACATTTGAAAAAAACCTTAGTTTTTGCCGACGCGTTTCGTCTTCCGACTTTATGAAGGCAAACGATTAAAGCGAATATATATATATATATATATATATATATATATATATATATATATATATATATATATATATATATATATATATGAGGAAATGTTGGGGTAGAAGGGTTGATCCTAATAACGAAAATAAATGAAAATGTTCTTTAAATGTTCTTCAAAATACAGATATTTTTGCTCAATGTGTCCATAGCTGTCGTGTAGCCTTCTTGAAATTCTAGGAAAAATTTCGGTGTACATCGATGATTAATAGGATTCTGTCAGAATATTTTTTGACCTGGCATAAAATTATGGTAATCTTCATTTTTAACTATTTCATTTTCGCAATTTGTTTCAGTCGCGATTCTTGATAGCCACGCATGACATAATGTTGAATGAAATCATTAGCCTGCTTCTTATAATCTTTTATCTCCGTGCAAATTCGCCTTAATAATAATAACATTAAACATTATAACAGCAATAAAAGCAATATTATAAACACTTAATAGCAACAATAAAAGAAATAAGAACAATAATTATAACGACACCAGTAACATAAAAAACATTGTAACAAAAATAACAATAAATTTAATAACAACAACATTCATAACAAAAGTGAGATAAAGAGAGAGAGAGAGAGAGAGAGAGAGAGAGAGAGAGAGAGAGAGAGAGAGAGAGATTGGGTGTGAGAAATAGAAAGAAAGAGAAAGAGATGAGAAAGAGAGAAAGAGATTGGATGTGAGCAACAGAAAGGAAGAAAGAAATCAAGGGAAATAGAGAGATTGGACGTAAAAAAGGAGAAAATAACACATTACGCACACGGCTTCGTAGAACACAGTATATTAGAGCACCTCCCCCCAAATCTGGCAGCTGATGTCTCCACTGACCGAGCTCTCACTGCTCAATGGCAGAAAGAACCAAGCACGTAATGTGTCATACCACCTAGCAAACCCTACATTTCTTCTTGTTCTGATATACGTTTGTACTCTCATTGAGGCTCCTTGCCTCGACTAAGGCTTACTCCAGACTTCAAGTTCTACTATTGAATAGTTGGTATTTATACGATTACAGAAAGTACGTGTACCATTACCCGTACTCTGTATTTACAAGAATCAGATCACAGACAAAAATGGAGTATTTCTGTTACATCTAGACTGGAATTGTCCCGTCTAAACTGCCCGACCTTGACAAAATTCAGAAGCATTTTACGATTTGGGGGGTTTTCCATAATGTTTACTTTCGACAGGTTTGATACCTCGATTCCTTGTTGAATATATCGAACTAGAATCTCTCACCATGCTCGTTACAAGGTTCAAGGCCAATTAAAGTATAGGGTTATAAGGCTCAAAGCCACTTGAGGTAGGGAGTTACAAGGCTCAAGGCCACTTAAGGTAGAGTGTTAAAAGGCCCAAAACCACTCAAAGTAGATGATTCTATGGCTCAAGGCTACTCGTGGTAGATGAGTACAAGGCCCAAGAACCACTCAAGATGGAGGTTTACAAGTATCACGGCCACTAAAGGTAGAGGGTTACAAGGCCCATGATCCACTTGAAGTAGAGGGTTACATATTGGCATACAAGAAGTGCATTAAAGAGATATCTAGTATCCCGTTCTACTTCTGAATCATGAATTTGAGAAAGATAGTGGTGTGGTTTCCCACTGGCTTTACATTTTGAATTCACTGTGATCTTACTCTTAGACTGGCTGCCAGTTAAGGCTTAGGCAGCCGAGTCTACTCATTCTTAATATTTAACTGCAGGGAGAAGAGATATATGCGTTCCCTTCAATATTGCGAAAGTGAATGCACCAGATGAGGCTGGGATTTGAACTCGGCTCTCTGATCCCTCTCTGATGACAGTTACATTATCCGCAAGTTTACTCAAAACATCTGAGTATATAGATTATTTAGATTTTGTGCACACCATTCATAGATAGCACGTCGTTTTTAAATGAATATAGATTTCAGTTCCATGAGATCAAAGAAAGGGAAAAATTGATTTGTTTTCTATGTTTTGTCAACCCTTTGCTGATTATTTATAGCTAGAAAATATCTTTTTAGTCAGTAAAATTTTTGTTTTGTTTCGTAGACAAAATTTTAGTGATATAAATTTTACTAATTAACCCATAGCTGGGGGAGAGATGAATTCATATCTTTTCACATAGGTATTTGCGCGAAAGTGAATATAACGAACCCAACTGGAATTAGAGCTCGGCTTTCCCCGATTAACTATTCCAATTCGTTATCCATTAAACTATCTACAAAACTAAGCTTACAACATCTGGTATTCCCATCTAAGTAATGACCAGGCTCGACGTTACTTAACTTCGGTGATCGTATGGGAACAGGGATAAGATTTGATTTCACTGGTTCGTTTTTTTATGGTTTATCAACCCACTGAAGGTTATTTAAAGCTAGAAAATATTTTTGTTATTTTCTAAGAAATTTTTTGATATAATAATCATTTAGGGATACAAATCTTATTTAACCCATAGTCGGGGGAGAAGAGGTGGATTCCCACCATTTTCAAAAGGTATTTACGCGTAAGTGTATTTAATGAACCCAACTGGAATTAGAACTTGGCTCCCCAGTTAAAAATTCCGAGCCGTTATCCATTATACCACCCGCACATCCAAGCTTACAACATGCGGTCACCCATCTAGGCACTGACCAGGTTCGACGTTGCTTAACTTCGGTGATCGTACGGGAGCCGGGGTAAGATTTGATTTCATTGATTCGTTTTTTACGGTTTGTCAAACCCTTTGAAGGTTATTTATAGCTAGAAAAATTATTTTTAATGATTTAGGGATACGAGTCTTAATATTTAATCTATAGCTTGGTGATCGTACGGGGACTGATGGTTTAACGGAGTATGGCCACCGAGTTTAGTGTCGTCAAGACACAACTACTAAAAGCATTTTGATAGTACTTTATTATGCTACTAACAACTATAAATGATAAGAAGATAAAAACAAAATTGATTTCATGACGGCTGATTTTTTTTTTTTTCGCGGGGATTAAATTTAATTATCAAAACGATTCCGAGTCGAGAGCTCCCTGGCGCCGTTATATTTCACAGAATTGTTAATGATTTGACAAAAAACAATGTTCGCCTGAAGTAGAGCAACACGACACGCTACGTCTTGTTATCGGTTATATTTTTACCTCAATGATAAATTCCGCGATTATTAGCCTAATTCACTCGATAAAGATTACTACTGCTGATACCAAAGTCCTAATTTTAAATTTGATTTGGTTGGTTTTATTTAGCGGCATATCAACCTCTGCGGGTTATTTAATGCCGAAATTTAAATATTTTGTACGCATTTTTTAAAATTAATAATAGTTTTAGTGATACAAGTCTTACTAATTAATTAACCCATAAGGAGAAGGAATTTGAATTCATAACTTTCCTAATAGTATTTGCGCTTAAGGAAATATAACGAACCCAACTGGAATTCGAACTCGGCTCTCCGATTAACAACTATGAGTCATCATCCAATACACGACCCGCACATTCGAGCTTACTGCACCTGGCATTCCTAAGCGGTCACCTATCTAGGTACTGGCCAGGCTCGACGGTGCTTAACTTCGGTGATCGTACGGGAATCGGTATTTCAACGTAATGTAGCCGTAAATCCGTTTGCTCGGTTTAGCAGCATATCAGCACCTCTATGGATTATTTAATGCTGAAATCTAAATAATCTGAATACGATTTTATGGTTTCAACTAAATATCTTTTGAAAGCAATTACATGATTTCAACCGCAGATAAAATGTTTTGCTTGTCATTTTGCTTTAAAATGTATTGCTGGTATTTTTACTATATGTGTTGTTGGTCCATTTTATATAAAAATGTATTGCTAGCATTTTTACCATAAAAATATATTTTTATACATTTATAGTGTTTTGTTTGTGAGTTCACTATTTGCCCATAGCTGGGACCCTAACAGGTGGTACCACGCTCTAATTTTAAGTAGCAGATCAGTTCGTTAATTCCCCTCCGTTCAATATTAACGGAAAAAAGCTTACCTAGGGCAACAGAGATGTCAGAGCTGTGAAATCTTGTAGTCATTCATTTCAACTCTTCTTTTTAATAACTGTATTGTTTCTTTCCAGGTACGAGTGTAGGTTGAAAATGTTCATAGGCTGACCATGAAGGAGCAATATTAGAGAAGTGAAATCATGTACTGTTTTTTGCGAGCTTCAACTATTTAATGCGTCATCTGTCTTCTTAATTCTTGTTCTTTTATTGTCTTCTCTCTTTAATATTAGTTTTTCACATAATTTCTATCACTCAGTAAAACCTGGTGTCATAGTGGCTCTATTACCTTGATTATTGTGAAATGATTAATATATATATATAGTTTTAAGATATGCTATATTTATGGGTTAAAGTACTCAATCTCGTTGACAGAGCTTATGTAAATATAAAAGTGGACATTGATGTCAATACCCAGCGGCGACAGTCAGTTTCATGCTTAAACACAATCTTTATATATATATATATTGCAAATATTTCAAATCGTAGTTAAATAAAAAGAATTATGATCTGAACACCTCCGAAAATCTTTAAATTTACAAATAGAAAAAAAAAATGCCGTAAGAATTTTTTTTACCGTTAACAATAATTTAAAAAAAAAAAATCTAGATGACATGCATTGAACGGATGTCAGTTTTCATTGAAAAATACATCCCTACCCCTTACCAAATTGTAGCTAATAACTGATACAATGATACTGACATAAGGAATACCTAGACATCCCTTGTCCAATTCAAGTAGAATATTCTGTAACCATGGAAACGTGATTTTAGCTGTGTCTTTAAAACCCAGTAATTTTTAAAAGTTACTCCAAAATTCGCTTGAGGATGAAATGGAACTAATGTCTTTAATTTAATTGCAAAATTAAATTCGGGGTTTTTAGCTTCCATTTTTGAAACATGGTTAGAACTGTGTAGCGGAAAAAACCATATTTTAAATCAATTAATTTATATATATATATATATATATATATATATATATATATATATATATATAAGATGTTTTTTGAATATCTGCTATTTCGGTCGACATACAGGTATATCGTCTCAAGTTTTTGATTTTATAAGGAAAAAAAACACATGCCTGATGATGGATGGAAGACTGTCCGTAAGTACTAGCATTTTAACATCAAATAAACTGAAAAACTACAGACAACAAGTTTTTCTTCAAGGATCAAAACTCGCACTATGGATGAACAGGATTTTAATGCATATATTATGTTTTCTAGCGATGGATGTCGCCAATAATCGCATTGATACTTCTGATTAATTCTATGTGTGATTATTCTTTGTATGCTGCCTAATGTTTTTATATATATATATATATATATATATATATATATATATATATATATATATATATATATATGTACGAGTGTAACAGCAAAATTGTCCAAATCGTGTAACAGCAAAATTGTCTAATTGTTAGATTAATATCTTACTGGAATTCTCCGAGGTTTTATAACTCTATTGGGCTCTACTTTGAACAATAAGAATAGATTTAGCCCTAAGTTAAAATGAAGATCCCGATCCTGATCATTTTCGTTTAAAATTGATTTCATCACGATCCTTCTGTTAAACTTGGAGAGTACATTCTTATTACTCAAAGTAGAGTCCAATAGTGTTATAAAACATTAATTCCAGTAATATATCTTTAATCATTTCTAAGATACAACGGTTCAGAGCGTAATCTAACAAATGGACAATTTTGCTTTTGCACGATTTGAACAATTTTGCTGTTAAACCCATTAAATGAACTCTCTTAAGATATTCACTTTTCATTACCCTATCTTGCTTCACACGGTGTGGTCGATATCTGTTGTCTTCTGAAACATTTCTCTTACACGTCGTGTACATTACCACCAGCTTCAAACTTATCACTAATTCCTGAGATTATAAGCCGCGTAGGTGGGTCCGAACGAAACTCTCTTCGATAGCGCCTTCGAAATTCTACTGTATTTTCTTACTTTCAGTAACATGAACTTTCTTTGTTCAAAGCCACACATGGATGACATTATTAATACTAAGGTGTAAGTCTAAAAAGAAATCAAGTTGACTTGAGCTATACACTGTAAATGTGGTTTATACATTTATTGAAGACACGCTGTATTCTTTGGTTTAATGATATTTTCCTATGTTTCAGTATTTGCTTACCTTCTGTGAGAAAACATTTACTGTCTTATGAACCCCTTTGAAATTTCTGTATCACATTTCCGTCGTCTGTTACTACAAACCCCAGATATTAGATATTTGCGAGTAATTGGATGACACAGACAGGTTTGTTAATTTTAACGCCTCCATAACGAAACTTCTCTCCATTAACCAACTGAGAGGCCCCTTGCCACCTTTCATTAGCATGGCTGATGCTAACCTCCAGGAAAGTGAATCATTGCGATTTCTCGGGCTAACGTTCTCAGTTGACATGAAGTGGAAAGACTATATTGAATCCATTACTCGGTCAGCTGCTAAGTAAGTAGGTTCCTTGTGCCGTGCGAGACAATTTTTCTCTCCAGAATCTGACATATCTATAAGTCTACCGTTCATCCAGATTTAGAATATTGCTGTCACATATGATTCTGTTCCCCTGCTATTTACCTTGAGCTCCTTAATAAAATCCAAAGAATCAGCAATATTATTAGTCCTGATCTGGCGGTTCGGCTTCTGTTACTTTCCTAACTCCGTAATGTTGTTTCTCTGTGTCTTTTCTATAAATACTTTCATCGCAATTACTAGGATTAATTCTTGGTATGGTACATAGACTTTTTGAATTTAACCGCAGTACCAGACTGGTGTTAATATCTCATAAATTTACAGTTGAGCTGGCTAGATGTAGCCGTAAGTTCTATGCTAACAGTTTCTTTTCTCGCACTTCTTTCTTGTGGAATTCCCTTGCAGTTCCATGCTTTCCAGTCAACTTTAATCTGTAAAAAATTTAATGCAATGTCAATCGCTATTTACTGTGCTCATGATTACTCATTCCTCTTGTTATTATTCACATATTGCACATTATTCATCTTTCTGTTCCTAATTCTTCCATACTTTGTAACCCTTTGTGTCTTAGTGGCTTTACTGCCTTGCATGGAGTAATACCGATTAAAAAATAGGTAGATATGGAAAATGAATATTTGTTGTGTAAAATAATTATTTTATTTTTGTTATTAGAAATTGGACCCAGTGACTTACCTACGTACGGGTGACATTTCATTGTTTGTATTTAATTCGGACTATAAAAAGAATTGATACCCAATTCTGTCTAATCAACATTTCAAAGGTCCTACAAGTTTTTCCGTTCGAACGTGTCAGTGCAGAGATAACATATCAGTCAGTAATCGACTGATAATATTAGAAGTTGTTATAGTAGAAAATAAACAACACATATGTTGAAAAAAAAATCACCACCTCCGTCCGAACAGACATCCAGGTCTACCAAATGTGTAAGGACATTCATGCGATTTCCCTACCTGCGTTGGGACACGCGTAAAGGTGCACAATTTGAACTAGGACACACACAGAGTTGCGCCACCTGATTTACGACACGTGTACAGTTGCACCACCTGTGTCAGGACACATATATGGACTCGCTCACTCTATGTGGCAGGACACACACACTTCCACAACTTGAGGGAGAACTCTCGTACAGTCACATGACAGGAGTGAGAGCACTTGCACAGTTTCACTCTATGAGTCAGGACACACATACATTTCCATCACCTGAGCCAGGACACACACGTTTCTATCACCTGAGTCAGGACACACATACATTTCCATCACCTGAGCCAGGACACATACATTTCTATCACCTGAGTCAGGACACACATACATTTCTATCACCTGAGCCAGGGCACATACATTTCCATCACCTGAGCCAGGGCACATACATTTCCATCACCTGAGCCAGGACATATACATTTCTATCACCTGAGCCAGGACACATACATTTCCATCACCTGAGCCAGGACATATACATTTCTATCACCTAAGTCAGGACACACATACATTTCTATCACCTGAGCCAGTATGCTCAAACTCTTACGCCACTTTAACCAGAATACCCTCAATCGTCTCACAAGATACATATTTCCATCCGCTGAGCCAGGACACTAATACAGTTACACCACCTGAGTTAGGACGCTCATGCTCTACTCCCACCTGAGCTAGGTATATTTACTCGGCCTCCCTACTGAGTAGGAGTGTGACAGAGGTTCGTTTTTACGTGGATGGCTCCATACACATACGTATGCATATGGGCCAAGGACGAAAGAAATTTTTCCATTCTTCGTGATCACTGTCATGCATATTATACGGATCCTACCTTTCTTACTGTAATGGGGAATGTGCTGCCTAAGAGATGGAATCACCGGGACTGGGTGCCATCTCCCCTCTAAAATTTAACTCCACCCAAACATCTTCCCCATTTCAGTCAGGTCCCACAACCAGAATCAGGGCACCGATACAGTCCCAGTGTCTGCCTCAAGATAATCAGGACTGTACCTTACCTAGAATATCTGAGACAAGACACATATATATTCCCCTGAGCTATGACATTCAGGCTGTTTTGCCACCTGAGCTAGGTCATATATAGTTCCGTTTCCT